TCCCGAACGCCCACCACCGGGGCCCGCACCGCCAACGGGGGACCCGAACCCGACCCACCAGCGTCCCCCAAAGCCGACCCGGATCCGGATGCGGACCCGGTTGCCTCCCATGCCCTACCTCTCCAAGCTTCCCAGAATTTCCCAACAAACGAATCCGGGTCGGTTTTACCCCTCACTACCAGAGTGATCGCCACCGAATTCCGGCCTCCGTTCTCCATGATTCTTCCGTCTTGGGTGGCGGAAACCTGGAAGCGGATCCTGGGACTGTGGAACATGGATTTGATCGACTTTTTGTTGGAGATGATGTTTTGGATTGCTGAGAGAGGGATGAAGGAGGAAGGGTTTGTGCGGTTGTTGGTTTCCGGTGGGAGCCAGAAGAGGCGGTGGGTGGTGAGGATTAGGAGACCGGATTTGAGGAGGGGGAAGGTGGGGAGTTCTTCCGATAGGAGGTCGACGGCGGAGAGGAGGGAGCACTCCACCTCGCCGGGTTTTAGTATGGGACGGCCGCTTTCGGTTAGCTCCGCCGCCGGGAGGAAAGCTCCGGCCATGGTGGATTGCGAGTGGTAATTGTGAACGTTGCTGAAAAAGTAGAGAGAGAAATGAGAGAAAGAGAGAGAAGAAGCTTTTAGTTGTCAACGGAGGAAATGTAATTGGGAAAATTACAATTTTAGTCCCTTACGTTTGCACAAAGTTTACATTTGACCTCCCATGTTCACAAAAAATACATTTAGTCTCTGATGTTTCCAAAATTTAACACTTTTAGTCATTTTCGTCAATTATCCTCAGTATTAACGGAATCATGTGTGTTCTCGTCATTGCTTTAACTGACGCACTAACAATAAATTGACATATTCAAAGAAGAGGAACCAAATATGTTTTTGGTAAATTTGAAATACGAAATATGAAATTGGTGCAAACTTGAGGGTGAAAACTTTAATTTTCCTAATTGTAATGACAATTATAATTAGAACTAAAATGAATGAAGGGGTCTAAGTAAGAGATAACGACTATGAAAGGGGTAGTTTCGAATTATGTAAATTTGCAAGGACCTTAATATAAAGAAACCATAAACATAAAACCTGAAAATTCTCTAAAACCCTACTACACACAGTACACACACAGAAACTGCAGAAAAAAACCAACAATGCGTCGTCCTCATTTTAATCCTCATCAATACAACGCTAACAATCAACAGCTCCAAAACAATGGCGTAAATCTTCCACCTCCACAACAGCAGGTATCTCTCTCTCTCTGATTCGATTCTTCTTGTGCGCGCGTGTTTGCGCGCGCGTCTGTGTGTGCGTTTGCGCGCGCGTCTGTGTGTGCGTTGCGTGTGTGTCTATGTGTGTGCTTGCGTGTGTGTGTATGTATATTTGCAAGAATTTGTTTTTGCTAGATTATTTATTATATGAGTGTTCATGTGTTTTGGTAATAATCAATCAGGTTTTTGGGAACCAAGGTAATTTTGGCCCTAATCCAATGCAAATGCAGTCTCAATTTCAAATGGGAATGCTCAATAATCCTCAATTAGGAATGCCACCCTTTAACAACCCAAATGCCTATTTTCCCCAACCCCAGTTTTTCCCCTTTCCGCAAGGTCCTATGCAGAATCTGAATGCCAACAACTTAGCTCAGCTCTTGGTACAAAATGCTGTAAACTTACCTCAGTTCTTGCCGAATGGGCAAATGGGGGTGCCAAATTTAATGCAAAATGTGAACCAGCTTCTGCACATGCAAATGGCGAATACTGGCCTCCAAAATCCGCGTCCTTTTGGCAATGGGCAATTGGGTATGGCTATGCAGAATGGCAGCGGTTTAAATAATATGAACCAGAATGCTGCTGCGACTAATGTTTTGAATTCTCCTCAAGTGCAACACAGTCAGAATGTCTTTTCTCCGGGTGCTGCAAGCTCACAGGTTTAACTCTTAATTTGCCTTCGTTCGACCCGTTGTTTGTTATGCGATTTTTGTATTCTACCGTGGCGATTTTTGTGCTTTTTATTTGTTATAGATTATTGGATGAACGCCCATCATGCGTAAGTGAAATTTATTGTTTCAAGATGATGCTTGTGTACAAACATGCAGGTTTAGCTTCCTGATTACTGAATTGAATAGAGTCAAGAATGGCGTTTTTAAATAAGTTATACTGCGTTGATAATGTCTTATATAGATGTAGCATAAAACTGTAATTTAGTAATTTAGTCATCGAAACTTGACTTGCTTATTGTTAAGAGCTGTCTATAGAAATTGCGTATAGTAGTTATCTCACCTCTTCCATTTTAGTGATTTAAAGAGAAAACTTCCCTTACTTGACATCAAAACATAATTTCACTGTTTTCTTAAGAAAAGTATGTTTTCTTTTTTGTTATGGAATTATTTGTTTGTTTTAAAACCCCATTGGCCAAATCACAATATTGAGAGAGTTCACTTTTATTGCACCTATTTATTTCTTTTGAATGAAATTAAACTGCATTATTTGTTACAGAACAATGCAGGATTTGTTAATGGAGTAAATGACAGAAATAATGGTTGGAAAAAATCTCATGACAAGAACCATAAACATGATGCTTCACAAAGAGGGTATGCTTGCTTTTACTGTTTCCTAGAGTAATTTTCTCTTTTGTACTGCTGCTAAATTTTTAATAATCGATGGTTTTGCTTTCACTGCTAAAAAAAAATATCTGCAGATTTGGCAAGAAGCCGTTTCAAAATCGTCAAAATGCACAAGGAAACTTCAAGTTCAATAATGAAAATCGAGGAAAAGGTAGAACTTATCTCGACTGTGAATGGTTTGATACACACCACGATAACATGATCTAAATAAGTATCAGCAAGGAAAATGTGGGACTTCTCTTACTTGTTACTGATTCAGTATGCATAACGTTATGGGTAAATTCTTTTGCTTCTGCCATTTTGCTAACTTTTTGGTTTGATTAATAACAGTGGCCCAATCTCCCTAGCAGAAAATGTTGCCAAACTTTCATCTTTTTGTATATTCATTTTGACAAGCCAAAATCATTTTTTTTGGCAACCTTTGACAAAATATCCCGTATAATTGCATTTGACAAACTTGTTCCAATTCCTCTAGAGTCTAGATGGATTCCTCAGTAGATAAAATTGATAAATCATTAATCATTTTGGCACCTAGTCGATGCAATTCGGAAGATAACTTTGCATTTCTTCTCCAAGCCATTTGCTGCTAATCACTGAAACCTTCTCAGATTTGGCTGATAACTAGCATTTGGTGATGTGAAGATGGCAGACGGACACTCGTGTTTGTATGCTTGCTCATTTGTTAAATTGAGAATCTTGATGAAAGAATCGCTTAATTCTTATTTACTTCTCTCTCCTTGATCTGCGTCTGCAGTTCACCTTAATTCTGATTTGTTCTAACAATATAATATGTTCATGAGTGCTCTTTCATCATTATCCGACCATGTACAATTCTCGTTATCGCATATTCAGACTTGCTTCAACCTTTCTGAATCTAGGTCCAATTTCTCCTTTATGTGCAAAAGTACTGCAATAAATGCATCTTAAGTTCTTGTTTAGACAGATTCCTAATTGCTTACTTTCTAGGTTTGGGAACCATCAAGAATATTCCACTCTCGCAGTTGCTTCAAAGAAACTTTCTTCTTGATGTGGGTGTTGAAACTTTCTTCCCCCTCCATACCATTTTAAAAATATTCTTCAAGCTTATGGATTCTATCTTCCATGCATCTTCAATACTCTTCTGAGTAAATAAAATGCCAATGGGCCAAATGTAGGTAAAGAAAATGTATACACTTAACACCACCCTGAACTTGTGCAAACGAAAATTTTGGTTCTGTCTTTTGCTGTGTAAACCTTACAAAAATCTTTGATTTGATTGCATAGTATGTACCGACTTTTGTAGCAAGAACTTGAATGCCCAATATCTTGAATGTGGATTCGTTTCAGGCTTAAAACAACTCATACTTGCTAGGAACGTTTGCATCTATTGAAAATCAGTATCAGGAATTCTGGATTTACTTGGATTTTTATTCTGTGTTTACATAGGGAACCAAAATGCTGGAGGGAAGAACTTCAACTTTTCGAATTCAAATGAGCAAAATCAAGGTGTGCAAAAGAGGTAATTCTGATGTATTTAATATTTTTGGATATTTTTAGACAGCCCACAACTATTACTTTTCCATCAGTTATTACATTTTAGGGTAACTATGAATATGATGAGAGTTGTAGAACAAGAGGGTAAATGTAAGAATATTGACAAATATAGTTGAAGGAGTGTCCTAAGAAATGCCTATTGTTGTCGAGCTGCCTATTCTCTTACTTATCTTGATGTCCTTTCTGTTCCCTGCCTTTGCTTGAAGTATCATTATCTCGAGATTACATGTTCTTTTTCTTTTTATATGTTCTTGGTTTAGACTGTGTATTCTATAGTAGCATTGGGTTTTCTCATTTCAATTTGTCCTTGCCTCTCCAATGAAGGTCTATTGCGTTAAACTACACAGAACAAGAAATCAAACAGTGGCGTGAAGAACGCAAGAGAAATTTCCCATCAAATGCCAACATCGAGAAGGTCTGTCTACTGACTATGTGATGTTTGAATTTAATCTATACGAGAAATATGTCAATGATACACTTTATTAACTGCAGAAGTTGAAAGTGAGTCCAACAAAGCCTGAGGTCACGGAGGAAGTGGCAAAGATACGACGACAGGTATTTTCTAATTTCAGTTACTAAACAAACCGTTGATTGAAGTGCCGTATTGTCCTATAATATAGTTTTCTTTTCTCCTATATGCATGGAACGGTAAAAAAAATATCCCTGATTTTTACGATCCCTTACCAATTTTCTGAATGGCAACTCTGATTTAAATTGGAAAATTGGGATCTTTAGCTACTTATCTATACTCTACATGTTTCCCATACTACAATTGAATTGCTCGTCATTACCAATCTTCATGCCCTGAACTGAAGACAAGATTAACTTAATATTTTTTCGTAACTTTTCCATTTTATGTGCATGTTAAGTGTTCTGAATTTCATTCGTAGAATCATTCACACTCCATGGCATTTTTCTCTTATTCGTGATCGTTTGTTATAGTAACAGACTGTTCGTAGTTTTTTCCGTCACTTTTTCGTGCATATGCAATTAGATAATAAGGGTAAATTACAACCACCTCATGAGGTATGGTCAAATTACGAAAACCCCCCTCTTGTTGGGTAATTACAACCACCCCCCTCAACTATAAATCTTCTTACACGTCCACCTTTGGGGTTTCAAATTTAGTGGAGTCTTCGAGATTATATGGAATATTATCACTTTTGTACCCGTTTTATCCCATTCGAACTCCACATTTTGAAGCAAGATGATCTTAATATGTGTTTTTTGGCTTGTATATATTAGATTGTGGTGCATCAGAAACTGCATTTTTATACAAAACGAGTACAAACTAGAGCACATTCCACGAAATCTAGATGATTATGTTGAATTTGACACCATAAGAGTGGAGGAGTAAGAAAAAATCATAGTTGAGGGGTAGATGTAATTATTCAAACAAGAGGGGTTTTCTCGTAAATTGACCATACCTCAGGGGTGGTTGTAATTTACCATAGATAATAAATAGTGATGATATATTTGTTATTTGTCACAGCAACTTAAAGAGATCTTGGCGAAACAAGCTGAATTAGGCTGCGAAGTCGCCGAAATACCGTCTTGTTACTTATCAGATTCTGAGCTACAGACAGATGGCAGACAGCAAAATAATAAGCCGTTTGATAAGAGGGATAGATTTCATAACAAGTTCGATAAGAGGGGAAAATTCGACCAAAATAACCGGTTCTCCAAGAGACAAAGATACGAAAACGGCGATTCAACAAATTTGCCGAACCAAAACGATCAATTCAGTAGCAATCAGAGATGGGCTAATGGCCCCACAAATAACCTGCGTCGAGAAAATAAGGTGGAGCAATCTCTATTGAAGAAACTGTTGAGTTCTGATATCAAGAAAGACAAGAAGCATCTGCTGCAGGTTTTCAGGTTTATGGTAATGAATTCGTTCTTCGAAAACAACTTGTCTGAAACCCCCCTGAAATTTCCGGAAGTCGTTGTCAGAGAATCGTGCGATGGAAGTGCGATTGTGCAAGAGAAATCTCAAGCGGTCAAAGGTGATACTGTTTGCAGTGTTGACGTTGATGACATCAGCACCGGTGAAGCTGCTAGTACTAGCAGGGCATATGCCGGTTTTGCTGGAGATCGTAAGGGAAGCCCTCGAGAAATCGGTGAAATCTCCGACTGATTATTTTGTTTCTTCTGTATACGTTGTCGATTTTTTGTTTGTGTATATATGACTGTACACTTACGATAACGGAGAACTGTTTGTTGTATGATTTTTCATTTCCATGAATCATAAATTTTAGCGTGTGTTTGTGTAGCAGAGGGCTGATTCAAGGTATTAGTAGCCCTATGCGACGGGCTCGACAAAGAAAGTGTTGACAAGAGCATCAAATCATTTGGTGTACACAAATTTTATAGCCGCACATCATCAAATATAAAATAAGCTTTCTTCTTCTCCCTACACTTTCTAACGGCTTCTCGATTTCCTAGAGGCCTATCACTAGGTTTCAAGACGGGGCTTCATTCTTCGTGAAGGGCAATATTGTTCGATGAAGGGGTAAAATGTGTGTGAGTGTGGTAGCACGTGTGCGGTGTGTGAAACATCGTGGCCCCACGGATTGCAAGTGTGGGTGTGGTTGGATGTTTGTGGATTAGTTCTCAACAAATTATCGATAAACGGAGAATGCTCTGAGATCGATGCTCGGATGTTTCTAGAAGAATCCACTTCCGGAAGAAGTATATGGTTTGAAAGTTCAATCTCCCCATCATCCATATTTTCTTTCATCTCTCAAGAAAGTGAAGCAAAAAAACAGTCTTGATATGCTTAATATATTCAAATGTAATTGAAGTGATTATACAATAATTAAGAAATCAAATTTGCAATAACAATTCATTCTATATGTTTGGATACTTTTTAAATTGTTATGAATTTTAAATTTTGTAATTTTTAAACACGATTTTTGAAGTTAATTTTATTATTATTTTAAATGTACCTATATATGATAATAAAATAAAGAACATACTAGATTCTTCTTGAGTTGGATCAAAAGTCCTTTGACAACTAACAAAATTTATGTAAATGTCCCTTTCTCATTTCCATTATAGCACAACTATTATAAAAAGCCAATAAATGTAATAAGATTTTAGGACAAGATACATTTATAGACACATGTAATATTTATTATTTGATTTGCTAATATGTGATTGAGTTTTATAAGCTTAATCTATTAGTTAAATGTATTATTTAATATTAACGTATCCACTAGTATGTGTTGTAAGGCCATTATATAAAACAAGGGTAAATTACGATCATCCCCTCAACTTTGAATTTTCTTACATGTCCATTTTTATGGTGTCAAATTAAACATAATCTTCTAAATTCCGCGAAATGTTCTCTAGTTTGTAATCGTTTTCTACAAAAGTACATATTTTGATGCACCACAATCTGATATTTACAAGTCAAGAGATAGACATGGCCACGGGTCGGGTCTGACCCGGACCCGGCCCGGACCCGACCCATTGACTGCCCCGCCCCGCCCCGGACCCGGCCCGTTGACCATGGACCCGGACCCGGACCCGGCCAAGTACGGGTCGGTTTCGGGTCCCGATTTCTTGGACCCGAGACCCGCCGGGTCTACCCGGCGGGTGGACCCGAAGACCCGGACCCGAGGGCCCGGCCCGAGGACCCGTCGGGTCCACCCGGATTTTTGATGAATTAATCACCAAAAATGCAGCGACTGGGGTTCGAACCCGGGTAGCCCGAATCATTCACTGAGCACTAACCACCAGGCCAACCAATATGTTTGATTAAATATAGACAACAAATGTATATAATATAAACCTATGGCGTAAATGATAAATATGTTAAATAAATTATTAATTTTCATATTAATTATTATTAAATAATTTTAATTAAATAATTAACAAATGCAATATAAGAAAAATATATATAATCACAATTCAATACTTCAAAACATCTATTATTAATTAATATATCAATATAAGCTCCACTGTTGAAAAATATAAAGTATTGAATCAATTCAATATATAAACAAATGCGTTGACTTATTAAAAATTGACTTATGTTATTAAAATCGATAGTGTGAAAAAATCGAATGAAAAATAAAATAATATGTTTATTTAAAAAAACAAATTATAACCCATTTCAATTAATTTAAGTCGATTAACCTCAATTGTTGACAATAACTTATTAATATTATTGAGTATTTTATCATAAGATAATTATTTATATAAATGGTGTTTATTTTAACAAAAATAGATTATATCCCATTTCAATTAATATTCTTACTTTAAAAATAACATTATATATGACTAGTATAATCAAAATATTATGATGTAATTTCTGTTTTAATAATTGATTTAATTTGTAAAAATCGTAGGAATTAAATTGTAGACCATATGATTTAATCGTTTTTTTACATATACATTTTATTCAAATATTAGAATCGAATCGTAAGATTTAAATGGATTAATCTAAAGTCCTTTTAATTTTGATATTATATTTGTTAATAATGTAATTAAAATGGTTTAATAATTATGAATATGAAAATTAACAATGCATTTAACATTATTTATTATAATCATTTCATACTGTTTTGTTTATGTTTATGTATATTTCTTGCAAGTAATTTCACAAATATTAATCTTGTCTCAGTGGTTTGGAATTCTTTTCAGGTGTCTTGTGACCCGCGTTCGAATTCCATCCATAGCAATTTTGGACAAAATTTAAAAATCGCGGTCCAGACCCGGACCCGGCCCGGAACCGACCCGGAACCGGGTGGACCCGAGTGGACCCGGCCCGGACCCGGACCCGCCTTCCCGCGGGTCGGTTTCGGTCCT